CACACACACACATACACACACACACACAGTGCAAATGAGGTCTGGGCTGCCATGCCAAGAAACTACAAAAGAGAACCTGCTGGGAACATTATCTTTTCTTGTGGCTTAAGGGGTAGTTTAGGGTCTGGAGAGATGGTTCAGTGACTGCTCTTGTAGGGGACCTAGATTTGATTCCCAGCACCCACATGGCAGCTGACAACCTTCCATAACTCCAGTGCCAGGGGATCTAATGCCCTCTTCTGGCCTCTACAGGCATCGCATGACACAGGCACACCTGCCTACATGCAGACATTACACTCATACACATAAAATAAAAATAATAAAATATTTTCTTTTAAAAAAGAGGTAGTTTAGCCATGCTGCACCTTAACCTCAGATTTTAGCCTGCAGAGCTGTTAGATAATGGACCATCACTGTGGCAGTCCCGGCCATACAGGCGCTGTGTGGAGGGATGGCAGCACTGATCACACAGGGCTGGCTCTATCTTCATACACGACACTCACTGTGAACTTTCTGAAATGGAACTGAGTTCACCTCATCCTCAACCCCCTTAAAACCCTCCCACAGTTCCCATCACCTTCTTTATTGGGAAGTTTACCCTTTCTGTCACCCTCCCTCCCACAAGAAGCTCTCACATGTTGTCTATTAACCTCTTCTTATTCGTCCTAACTGTCCTAAGCCCTTGATGGTGTCCAAAGAATGAGAACTTATATTCAAATGTTTCTCATTTAAATTAGGGTTCTGCTAAAAAACAAGGCTCATAGAGACTTCTTTGTTCACGCTATGCCAAATAACACTCTTCTTGCTTATTGTAGTTTCTTCCCTTTCCATAATAACATTTATCAATATCTAACATTATGGATCTGCCTGTTTATTCATAGTTGACATCTGCAAGCATAAGTTCCTCCAATATAGGACTTGTCTATGGTTTAGAGTTGTGTTCCTAGAGCCTAGAATGACAGTGTGCATAAAAGAATCTCAAAACATATTCGTAGTAAATTAATGGTTGAATACATGGTTTTCAAGATACTTGGAGAAAGTATAGTTTCAAATTTTTCAATGGTTTTTTCCAAACGTGCCTAGCTGATACTTCTACTTTCCTCTCTGTCAGTATGCTACTGAGCCCATTTCTTTTATATTGGACAACTTTCTTTTCTTTTTCCCTCCTTCCACCTCTCAATATTCTGAACTTCAAGAAAAGGATTTCCCAAATGCGAGCGAGTAAGAGAAGTGAGTTCTACTGGGGAGAGGTCCCTCCCTGATTCACCCTTCTACCCCTGTGGACCTGGAATTGAATAGATGTTACTCAGTAGATACAGATCTAAGGAATGCTCATGGGGTTGCTTTTAGCTAAGACGTGAAAGGTAGATTCATCAAAAAAAAAAAATTTTTTTTTTTCTGAAATAACCCATACCTTTCAGGCAAACTTCCATTTGATTTCATGACATTTCAATTTGTGTCAGTTTGTGTTGGGAAGCCATGAGGAAGGCCTCCAACAATCTCTGGGGCTTGGAATTTGTCCTTGTGTGCAATCCCTCCCCCGGAGAGGGAGCTGGATTTAGTAACCCAATGCTACAGAGTAGAACAGCAGACGCTATGGGATACCCCTTCTGAGAAGACTGCAAGAGGATGAGCTTTCCTCCAGACTGTTCTCACTCTTACTCTTGGATCCTTATTGTGGATGAAGCCAGCTGCCATGTCATGAGACAGCCACATGAAGTCCACACGCAGAAACTTGGAACAGTTTTTCCCTGCTGAGCCAGGAGGTAGCTGTAGCTCTGGCTGACACCTTGATTGAAGTCTCATGGGAGATCTTGAGCTGAAAGCCAGTTAATCTACTCCCTGGTTCCTGACCCACAGAAACTGCAATAGTAAACATGGTCCTCAGCTGTGAAATGTTGGAATAATTTGTTAGATAGCATGAGGTAACAGATACAGCATGCTCTGGTAGAGCATTTGATTTATGCTCCATCTACTTTTTCATAACATTGGAGAAGCAGTGGGACAAGCAGTGTGAACAACATTTCCAACCTCAGACATCAAGTTAAGTAGGAGAGCCAGATAGACAAGTTCTAATGGTTAAATCCCTAACCACTAGTTTGTTACGTCTTAGACAAAGAGATACGGCATATGAGAAAGTAAAACAGGCCCCAAGGCTTAACAACCAGTTCCAGGTCTGGAAGAGTTGCTTAACCAGAACTAAAGATTTTATGATTCAAAGATATGATTAGACCCATCTTTCATGGACTCTCCAAAGGATTCCTTGAGGTCAATGAGCTAAAACACCACAACGCCTAGTATGTTCTGGCACATACTTCAGAAAGAGGACACATAGTAAGGAAAGAAGACAGCCCTGAAATCAATACTGGGAGAAAACACACAAAGCTATCTCTCTCTTTCTGAGAGGAGGTCATTCAGATCTCTGGAAAATCCACAAGCAGTACCTGGGCAGATTCAGGAGTCATTGTCAGGTCCACTGACACAGCCAAACTCATCAACACTTGCTGACAGCAAGAGAGCCAAGAATCATGACCTTGTCACACTTCCACCTGATCTAGGGTCCCCCATGGTGATTCCCAGAAGAAAAGCCTTAAGAACTGTAGCATTCACTAGAAAATCAAAAGTCTCAAACAGGAAGGCAGGGACATTTATGTGACTTAGAGGCCAGAAACCTATATCTGAACCTTTATTTTGCCAGGAGTTTTTATCATCATGACCATGGGCAAGCCAGATCACACGGTGGATTCTGAACTATTCTGTAGTTCATCCTCCTCAGGACTCAAGAGATATGCTATGAAGTGACTTTGTGTGAACTCTAACTTGGCACAGAGACTTTTTGCCATCTGGCCGTGTGCCTGCAAAATTAATTGCCATCATACTGTGTCTAGAAATTCTGGAACTTTCTAAGTCAAAATCTGGAATGCATCAAAAGAACCTCATTTTTCTGTCACCATTTTCCTAAAAGCTACTATAATCAACAGCACCTAATGAGAACGAGGATTCCTTTCTGACGCCCACTATGGCATTTGTTCATTACTTACAAAGAGGTGACTTCCAAAGTCTGCCAGACACGTGCATCACATTGCTCATCAGAATCCAACGAATCCCAGAAAGCTAGCTTCAGTTAAAATTGAAGTGACTTGTGGACAGTCTAAATTCCTACTTAAAATCACAGAGTACTATTAAATTCCACTTCTAAGATTGTGGGTTTGCATAGGAATCTTCCTGTGTATAATATGAATCTGATGATTAAATCATGGGTAAAAACTAAAGTCTACACTCTGAGTTGTATTCAGAACAAAGGCAGCAAGCTCACAATTTGGTATCTTGAGTATGTTTTATGGCTCATAAAGCAAGGTTGAGACAAACATTTCTTGACTGCCGACTATGAGCCAGGCTCAGTACAAAAGACATTTTTTATATGCTGTTTCTTCGTCAGCTCTCTCAACTTTCGTATAATGATTCTTTATCACAAAAGGAACTTCTACTCAGGAAAGTCAGTGGAAGAACTAGTGTTTAAATCCAGGCCTGATTGATGATAAAGCTCCCTCTTTTCCTGTGATACCAATTGGTTCCCTTCCCAGATAGACTCATTTAGAACCTATAAACTTTTGACCTTAATCTAATAAGTGAGCCCAAATTATGTTAAAGGAATTAAAATATTAAGACAGAAACTACTCAAATCTGTCAGCAAATCCACTTGGTAATGAGAGTGAAAATGATGATGACCCATTGTGACTGTATAAACCAGGCACGATTCGCGTGTGTGTGTGTGTGTGTGTGTGTGTGTGTGTATTCAGTCATCTGCCCCCATGCCATGTGATCTGAACCCAGAGATTCTGGTGTTCAGTGCCATGCTTTGTCCTACAGCTGTCCTAATAAATAGAAGACAGCATATCTAAGGACTGATTACTGACACCTATCTATTACTTGACTCAGACAAAGCTTAAGAACGTTACAGTGTTCCTTGTTAACAGACAAGCAAAGGAGAATAGTTTTCCCCAAACTGGCAGTGAGAAGAATGGTGATGATTTAAGATCTAAACGTCATAAATGCTACATTGAAGAAAAGTGATAAAGACAGCCATAGAATCAGCACCTCAGATAACCAGGCTGGGGACTGCATGCTGGTGAAAATGGGGTGAGGGGTGATGAGGATTTCCATGGGATGGGTCTCCTCTGGTCCTCTTCAGCTCCTCTGAAGAGCTGTACATCAACCCTCTCCCTGGGACAGAGAAGTTGTGGGTTTGCTCCACCAAGGTAATCCTGCCTCCCAGCCTCTATGGAACAGCAGCCACGATAACCTAATGCAAACATTGAATCAAAATGGAGGAAATGAGTTCAAGCTCTAACACCAATCTCTCTAGGCAACATCTATTTGAAGTTTTAGGGAGTAGGAAGAGCAGAATAATTCTGAATTCTGCATAAATCTTCATCTATCTAAACTAATATTTACTATCAAGTAGTATTTTCTTGACCATGTAAGCTTCAAAACACACCTGGAAGTTTCTCTTGTTCTGTAAAGAGTGGCAGAGCAGGGCAGTGATTATAATGGCCCCATAGCCAGATGGCTCACGTAGGAACCTAGCTTCGATGCTTACTAGCCATGTGACCTCTGGAATACTGAAACTATTCATGTGCCTCATTTCCTCATCTGGAAATGGAGATGATGTGGGGGTAAAGAAGTCACATGAACTACACAAAGGGCTTTAGGACAGTATGTGTAACTGACATTACTGACAACTATTCTATTTTATGGTTCACTATATATAATTTAGAAGCACTCTTGAGTTAAGCCCAACCAAAATTAGGGCTTGTACTCCTTTGTAATTATGAGGTTGGTATAGGAATTGCAGGATCATTCAAAGGAAAGTAATCTTTACCCCTCAAGAAATCATGCAAGGCCTTTTGCCTAGCATACAGAAGGCCTTGGGTTCTATCCTCAGCACCATTTAAAAGAAAAAGAAAGAAAGAAAAAATAATAATCACTTTAATGCAAGTATTAAGTATTTTATTAACATATTTACAAAATATTACAAAGTAAAATACCGCTCTAAATCACCATATTACACAAAAGCTGCAGATGGGCTAGACAAAGTACATGGAAAACACTGACTTCTGTCTTTGGTATTAGAAATCTACACACATTGCAGCATTTAAAATTTCAAATACAAAGTATTAACTGTAGACAAAGATAGAATTGGTAATGTCATGAAAAGGGGTTCTAATATCCTCTGCTATGAAACCCCCAGGCCAATGAAATGCAACAGGAAGAACACACAGCACAATACTGTTCACAGGAGCCTATCGATCTGTGGGAAGCTGTACTCTCCATAGCAACATTTGGCTGACAGTAACAGACAAAACATTCCAAGACGTTGCAGATAAGTCTTCATGGATAAGAATCCACTCCAAGAGTACACCTTGCTTGTGCAAGGTCGCTGTACAGTACATTTTATAAAATACATGTTCATGACCATTTACAGATATACAAAAACTTAATTGATTTTAGCGAATAATAGTTGTTCTAAAACACAATCACAGTTTACATAATTCTGAGGTAAAGGTCTTGAATCTAACTAGATGTGAAATCCTAACTCCTGGGAGTCCCTTTGAGGGAGATGTGTCCACTGAACTTCAAGTTCTGGTACCCATGTGGGCAGGGAGAGGTGATCCAAAATTCTGAAATTAGAAGCTTCTAGTTCACCTCTAAGGTATAAATTCTTCTACTATGTTGTTTTTCCCAAGCACAAAACACTTCCTGAATCTTTTCAGAACATAGCCACTGTGAGGGCACAGTCCACTATGAAAGGGCCAAGTTAGTGTCTTAACCCGACTGTCTCTACTGGGACTCAATGCATCCAGGAAGAAGACAGACTCCTCATAGAACACAGTGAAGGCTTGAGGGAATAAATATGCTGTAAAACAGATCTTCCCACTGGCTAAGAAATATCTACAATAGTCTGCACAAGGGAAGCCTGAGAGGAGCCAGAGGAACATAAACGCCCAGAGCCGCTCCTCTGTTTCAGAAATGCATCAAGGGCGCACTGTGCTAGTGTAGATTCTAAAAATCAGAAAAGAATAAAAAATAAAACAACAAACAGTTGAAATGAGCAAATATGTCCTGGGGTCTTTCAGGGATGGGGGAGCCATATGTTAATAGTTGTTGCTACTATACAATAATTTAATATCCTTTATAGCACTTGATCTGTTTCAGCAAACAACACTATCTTACTTGGGTTCCTGTGAACTAAGTATGATCTATCCAGCCAAGATTCTTTTGTCAAGTGCTACATTTCCAAAATGTTCCTATGAAGTCATGAAGGTTGGGAAGATTTAATACAAAAACACTTCCTTCCATGTGCTTTTCTTTTTTCTCTTCGTAAAGAAGTGTGGAACGATAATCAGGATATCAAATGAATAATTAAAACCTTTCTGTAATATATCACTTATGATGCAAACCTGAGCATTTGCCTCTTGTATTTTCTCACGAGTAACATCTGGGGATAAAGGTGTTTGCCAGGCAATGAGTCACTTGTTGAACAATTTAAGACAAGAAATGCTGGATCTTTCCAGTAAGCTGGATCATTCCCAGATGGCAGAACTCTGTGTTCTCCATGCTGGGAAAAAGTAAAATTAAACTTCTGTTTCTTTGTACCATCAAATACTGTGGTGAACAGCGCGTGAAAACAAAGTAAATACGTCTGAAGCATTTATGGATTTATGGTGTCTGACCCAATACAGTAAAGAGAAACCTGAACCAATGTGTTTGCTGGGCTCTTTTGGAAAGAAAAGTTTTTGGCTTTGCCCTGGTCCCTGACAATGACAGACAGGCAGGCTGTTTCTTGCACCGCTCTAGGCAAGCCATTAATCTGTCAGTACCAGCATCTTTAGAAATCCCAGCATTAAGACTTAGGCGGGGGCAAAGGAGGGAGGGTGTTGAACAGCCAGAAATGCAGCTTTTTAAACACTTCGGTTAACTCATAATGCTGTGCAGGCTTCTGCTTATCCCTTCTCTGAGATTGTGGTGCAGGGTGCAATACTGGATTGGAATTTATTCATCCTCTTCAACATATGTGGATGGAAACCAGCCCACCTAAAAATGAAAAGCAACCAACATAACAACATGAGTTTGCATCTGGTACTTCAAAGGATTCTACAAACAGAGCATTTAGTTTTCACAACACCTCGATTAAGCTGGGGTTTTGTGCTCACTGTAGGTAAAGATTGGTTTAATAGTTTTTACAGGCCTCATAGAGATAGGGACAACAACTGGGGCATAAGAGAAGCTTAAACAGTGAGCTAATCCATTAGCTCACGAGAAAATACATAAATTAGACAATATGGGGCTCAACTCCATAATGATTCCCCCTCCCACTGTAGGATGTGATGTAAAGACATAGAAACTATATTCCATTCTTTCCAAATGAGATCAGCAGTTCTTACAGATATAAAATACATTTTTGGTACTATATATGAAATATATGCTCTGTGATTAGGTTCTGAAAAACTTGCTAGTGAACTTTATGCTCCTAATGTTTTGACTCAACCCATGGATTTTTATCTATTTATTTATTTTTAGTAATTGAGAATTTCATACATGCATATAATATGTCTTGATCAAGTCTACTCCCCCATTCCAATGGGGCCAAGAACCTTAGCTTAGGTAAGTCATAGCCCCAGGAGAGAATCTACTACTAATATTCTGCTATATGGACATAGTATTAAACCAACTCCTAAAGATTTATCATTATAGAAATCTGCATCTCTCAGCTCTCATCCAAGAAGCTTCTTTCTGTAGTACATGGTGAGTAACACAGGGCTCCACATCTGGTCAATGTGCAGAGAAAAGAAGACTGCAGAGAACCAGCCCTAAATGAAACATCTAAACACACGCCCTCCTCCCAAGGCTCAGGGACTCCATCCATTTTCACCAGCAAGGCATCCTACCAGTCTCAGGAGGTCATGGGCCTGAGAGGCCAAGTCTACAACATGATAGGTGCCAGTGACCGCCCAGCCCCTTCATTCACAGGGAACAAACATCCGGAGGGACAACTCACCCTGCCATTTACTTCTCCCCTCCACCAGCCATTCGCACTCATCTTTGTGTAAATCTTCACCACATCCCCTTTCAACAGGGAGAGCTCTCGCATATCTCTTGCACAGAAGTCATATCGAGCAATGGCAATGCCCAGCACTTTGGGACTTAACACTGTAAAGAAAAGATGAAGAGTCAGAGTCAGTATGCAGTTGGTTAAGAGCCATCAGAACCTAATCCAACTGATGCTACTGACGCTATCAAACACACAGTGGTGACTTCATTACAGACCAGTGATAATGGCAGTGGAGTTTGAAAGCAGCACAATTGCTGTTTCAATCCAATCAGTTGCAAGCAAGTTCATTCCAGAACCATGCCTCTACTTTGACATTCTTCATAAAAGCTTTGAAACAGGAACCAGCTTTTTTAAAAACAAACCAAAACTAATTAACACTTAAGTGTCTACCTGAATGAATTTAAGATAACTTTATCATAAATTCACTACTGGTAGCATTGTCATCTACATCTGACAAGAGCCTCTGAGGCAGAGTGACTAAATTCTTTGCTCTGAAGAAAGTCTGTCAAATCAATGTCATCAGCACTAAGTAAGCAGCATTTCCTCCTAACCAGGCTTTTTAAAATTAAAACTATTTAGGGATGGGCTCAGTTATTGGTGTATACATAATTTATGTGAAGACGTGTGAAGCAATTCTCACCAAATGAACACACAAACCATCTACATATCCTCTTCCTTTTAAGCAAATGCTGCCCTCCAGACAACTTTTATAGCAATGTCTAATCAAAAACAAGGTGTGAAGGTGTTTGTCTCCTATTTTCTGAGTTCTGTTTGCTTGCTTAATATCTCTGGTGGCAGGAGCGGCCCCAGCCCTGTTCTGAAAGGGGAACTCCATTCAAGTCAGGCTTGTTTGCTCCTCTCTAGTGCTCCATAAAGGGCTTTACAGTCATGTCGCCACCTGTTGCTCTGTGAGGTGATGAAGTGTTTTCAATTATATGTGCAGTGATTCTGAGAATCACTCATCTGAGATTGGTGGGACTTTATAAATCTTAAATGCTAAAGAACTTAAGTATAAGAAAAGAGTCACAAATGGAAACGCCATCCATCTGTATTTTAACAGCTCCCAGTGCCCAGGCAGCTGGTAATGACCCAGGCTGCCCTGGAAGAGTCCGCCCACTTGGCAGCAGGGATCTCAGGCCTATTATTCATGGTTTTATAATGACAGACTTTTTTAGTCTCCAGGTATCCATCATAAGATAAACGAATGGCAATGCTGTAGATTTCAGAACTGTAAAGGGAGTAAAAATAGGTCACTTTATTTTACCGTTCAGGACACAAACCACTTTAATGGTTTCCTTACTGAAAACGGTCCCATTGCCAAGGCGTACTACTCTTAAAGCCAGTGCACATAAAAACACCCCTGTGATAGAGAAACTCAATCGCCAAGTTAACTGTGTGACCTTGCACAGGCCTCTTAACCCCTCCAGGCCACATTTTTCTCATCTATAAAAACGAAAGGTTTCTAATAGCTGGATTCCAAGGTCTACTTCAAAATTCTATGATTCTATTGGGATTCACAGGTTAATTTTTAAAAAACCTGCAAGAAAACATATTTTATCTAGCCATAAGGTCATACCCTCAATGTCACACAAATAGTCATTTAACTCTCCAGCTAATGATAGAAATCAAGATCAGGATGTCTGGACACTGACTGAAGAGTTGCAGAAATGCTAGCCAATGGTCACCATTTCAAGAAATATGGACTGAGTCTTACTCTTCCATTTGGAGGTGAGGTTGAGATTTTTCTCTTTTTACTGTCTTTGTGGAAATACACAAATGCTGTCTTTTCTCCACTGATTTCTAGTCCTCAAAAGATGAGTGATTTATCAGAGCACTTCATCTCTCTTTATATTTCCAGCCTCATCCGTCTCCAACCTCTCCCCACAGAAACATGATAAAAACGTCTTATTGAATAAAGTATACGGCATGGGGCTGGAGAGATGGCTGAGCGGTCAAGAGCACTGGCTGCTCTTGCAGAGATCGTGGGTTCAGTTCCCAGCACCCACACGGTGGCTAACAACCATCCTAGCTCCAGTTCCAAGTGATCTGACACCCTCTTCTGACCTTTGCAGGCATTTCACGACACAGCTGCACTCACATACATGCAGGCAGTACATAAAAATAAAAGTAATAAATAAAATATAAAAAAAACAGAAGTGGTATGTCAAGACAAACAATGACTCTATGGCCGGGAAGAGTGAAGTGTGTGTAGGTAATGGAACGCGGGGACTGTCTTTGAGGGGACGTATTTACATGAGAAGCCATACATAGAAGTCAAAAAATTGTGGTTGCAAACAAAAGCGAGTTGGAGAGACACATAAAATCAGTAAAGCAGTACCTGACCAGAAAGGACTGGAAGAAGGGGGGACAAAGCTGTAGTCTGGAGGAGTTAAAAAAGAAAAGCCACAGAACAGAGAGGGGGCTTAGAGAAAGACAGAAAAGAAAAAGCAAAAAGAGCATTTAAGAACTGGCAAAACAATCTCAATACAACTATCGTGCTGTTCATAAGCATCAGAAAATTGTCACATCCCCGTTGGAATATCAAACTGTGCTACGTAGCCACTGCTCTCCTGTCACCGTTTCCAAGCGAGAAACATGCCAGACTTTTTACATGATGATTGACATCAGTTCTGCAATTCAGAGTTGTCTCTCGTTTTATAGGCAAATAGCTAGTCCAACACTCAGTGTTACCATCTGATCCCCACTCATCCAAACATGGCCCGGTTCTGTCTTTGGTATAATAGTAGGAAAGGAAAATTATTAATATAAATATGTTCCTAATAAAAATAGTATGAACAAGAACTTAAAGAGCACTGTCAAAATATTGTAAATAATCAGTGACACATTCAGAAACCAGGGATATTCAAGAAAACCACGCAATTTGTTAGGAACTTCCTTACCTCCCAACCAAGTATTGCACATCTCAACTTATTTGCAAAAGAGGAAAATATAATTAAAACTGAAAGCCAATCTGAATTTTATCATGGCAAATAAAGTTGTAGAAAGTTACAGTAATACTATCGGAAGTTGGGTGACCAAAGTGTTCAACTCTACAACTTCAATAATAAAGGCTGTTCCAGGCTGGAGAGATGGCTCAGCAGTTAAGAACACTGGCTGTTCTTGCAGAAGACCTGGGTTTGTATCCCAGCACCCACATGGCAGCTAACAACTGTCTGTAACTCCAGTTCCAGGGGATCTGACAGCTTCTTCTGTTCTGCACAGGCATTGCACGACACGGGTGCACTTACCTACATGCAGGCAATACACATATACATACAAAATAAAAAATAATAAATAAAATATTTTAAAAAATAAAGGCTGTTCCTATTCATTATCAAATGGCCTTGAGGTGTTAGATACCACTGCTCAATATTATCCTTTAGTTATTAATTACTCTAAGAAGAAGACATTAGGGCTATGTTTTCTTCTGCATTGGAGAAAATCTAGATTCAAGTGTGACTGTAGGGCCTCATTCATAACCTCAGCCGCACTGTTATGAACTGAGCACTCTGCTTTCTGTACCTCCAATATTTAACCTGCTCATCCCATGGTACCATAACATCAGACAAGGATGACCCAGGGTATGAATTTTATTCCAGTATTTATTCTCCCTTTCCTTCATCTTCTAGATGACTGAGCTCAACTGACTTCAGAGAAGACTTCATTTCCCAGTATCTCTCGCAGTTTGGTAACATTATATGGTGAAGCACTGTCTGGTCAAAACCATCTAAACAAAAGTATCACGGGGCAGTTCTGGGATCTTTTCTACCAAGCCAGCAGGTGCATTCCTTTGCTATTCTTTTTAGTTCATTATTATACTCTTTCTTGGATGGGAAAGTTACCATCTTGATCCATATGAAGGGAAAATATCACCTTGAGGTAGATAGAGCCATGAGTTTAAAGGAACCTGAATTTCTGAAGATGTCATGGAGTACAGATCATGACCCCTACCCTTTCCTCCAGCACCAAGCTACTTTCAGGTTTTTATAGAAAAATTATAATCCTGGGCTGGAGAGATGGCTCATCGGTTAAGAGTATTGGCTGCTGTTGCAGGGGACCCAGGTTCAATACCCAGCACCCACATGGTGGCTAACAGCTGTAACTCCAGTTCCAGGGGAATCTGACACCTTCTCCTGACCTCCGCAGGCATTGCACAATACGGGCACACTTACACACATGCAAGCATAACACTCAGACACATAAAATAAAAATAAATAAAATATTCTTTGAAATATACCCGATGACTTTATAGACATACACAGGTGCCAAGGAGTCGATTGCAACAGATTATGACTAGTAATAATCAGATACATACAGATTAGAGATGCATATGCCAACATCTCAATGTTAGTAGCAAAAACAATGAGTCTGTAAGAAACAGTATATTTTAAAATGAAATGGAGATCTTTTTTAAAGGTTAAAAACTCATTCAATTTTATGTCCTATAGGGCTTATACTGAGTTCAATATTGCATAACCAAATTAATTCAACAGCAAACCTAAAAATTTTATAGCCACTTTTGAAAGAGCTGTATCTTTGCTCTGGAAACTTATTGAGCATATTAAGTCTGTAATGATATGCTTCTTCTAAAAAAATAATATTAAAAAAAGAAAAATTATAATCCTGTTCAAACCAATAGTCTGGGGCTTTCTGTCACATGTACCTGGACCTAGAAATGTTAAAAATGAGATTAAAAATGGGCCAACCAAACTGGGATGTGTTCATAGTCTTTCTAGATACTCTGCCTCTTTTTTACATAGATACATGATATTGTGAGCCACAGAATTCTCTTGAGGTAATACTGTTGTCTGAAAGGGGTTCTGAAAGTTCCTAAGAATAGTAATGACCTATTAAGAATGTTATCAGCCTCCAGACAAGCAAACTGGCCAGGGGAATTGGGAGGAATTCAGTTGTTTTGAAATCACTGACCTCGGGGCCCTCATGTACACAGCAATATATGTTTAACACTCTTTTCTCATGAACACTCTCACATGTTTACTTTGCACCCACCCTGGAATATGTCAATGATTAAGGCTCTATTTTTAAAGATTTTATTTTTGTTTTTAATTACGTGTGTGTGTGGGTATATGCACATTTG